TGGTCTGTGCACCATTGTATTAGTATATATAGTAGGGAGTCTGAGGCAGGGAACCTCAGACTTGATCTTCTCGTCGATCCCCCATCTCCTCTGTAGGTAGCTAGCAGCCCTACCTTCTACTGCCCCTTCTAGTCTAGGGAATACACCTCTTCACATCTCTTGCTGTGTCACCTCTGGTTGCTTCGCTTCTCAGCACCAACCTCTGCATCAGTAAGCTTTGCCCTTGTTTGTTTTGGTGGCACAGCTCGTTGGCTGTGACAAAAGGCCTGGCTCGATGCCGACCTCAAGGCCCAAGGCAACATCAGCCTTCACCTTGCCCCCAGCGTGTACAGCGCTTTGTCATCTCAGACGACTGCCAAGGGGATCTGGGACTACCTTGAGACCACCTATGGCAAGTCTGGCGTGCCAGCTATCTACCAAGACTTCCGGGCTGCCCTTGCTCTCACCGTTCTGGCCGACTCGAACCCTGTCCCCAACCTGGACAAGTTTGAGGCGTACTTCCATCGTCTCGAGACGAACAAGTTCATCGTTGCCGACCATGTCAAGGGCATGATGCTTATAGCAAAGCTCTCTTCCAACATGGGTCTAATGATCCAGCTCTATATCACTGGCTTGAAGCCTGCAACGAGCAAGACTGCAATCAAGGCAATCACTCTTGCTAGGATCCACCAGCAGGTCGTACTCCATTGGGAGCAGCATCAAGGCCATCAGGGCCAACTGTGCACAAGTGCGAACAAGCTCAGCGCTGTCAAGCGCAAGGGCCGGGCCCGACCCTTCCTTCCACCAGCAGCAGCAGCAGCAGCAGCAGCAGCAGCAGCAATAGCAGTGCCCTCAAGAGCAGCAGCAACAAGGTCACCCTTGTGGGCAACGTGGTGGACGTGGTCGTCGACAGCAGCAAGGTGTGCACCAATATGCACACTTTGCATTTATTGCTGACACCGTCACCACACCAACCATTACTCAGGGTCCGGACTTGGTGCTGGATCCGCACGCCCTCCTGCGCAAGCCGGTCTGCGTGGCCACAGGCAATAACAAGTACCTGTTGCTCACTCGTGCCATATCCCTCGCAGAGGAGCTCGATATTCCGGCAACCCCCGAACACATCCGGACATTAGAGACCTCGTGCAGCAGCTGCCCACTTTCACAGGTTCCTCAACGACCTCCTCCCAAACATTGCACGAGACAGAAACCATCTTCTCGGACGTCCCCAGCACGTCCATCAGCCTGTCCAGTCTGGACACCAGCTGCAAACCATCTCCAATCAGGAGTGGAACTGCCGCGTTAAGGCTTGAAAATATGAAGGCACCAAGTCCTCTGACAATGGATAGGGAAGATCCCATGTTCTCGGACAAAGAAGAGCTGGTGCCGCCACCCAAGCGCAAGCGCACGCTCAAGGAGCGGCTCGCTCTAACCCTAAGGGAGCATCTGGACGATCCCATGGACGAGGCGGACAACACTGTGTCCCTCGGCCTAACTAATGCTGAGGAAGAGATCAACAATTTCTTCGAAAGGACCTAGTATATTTGCCATCCTTTGACCTCTAATAAGTCGTATGCTGACTGCCTGCACTCTGCAGTGACTAGTGTCGCAAGTTCTCTCGTAGAATAGATGGTCTGCGCAATGATGTATCTGTAGCTACGCCCTTATAATTAGCTACAGAAGATAATATATGTCTTCACCACTCTTCTTATACTGAGTGTGCGCGCTGTAAAGGAAAAGGCAGAACATCGACTGAGTACAATGGTCCCAGCCTAGTATGGATGATCGACTCAGGTGCTTCAATGCACTTTACATTCTGTCTCGACGACTATGTCGACTTCCATTACTATGGTACACCTCAATCATTACACATGGCATATGGTGTTACTACTATGATTAGCGAAGGAACAGTCATCATACCAACTGAGCTTGGAACTACCTTAAAGCTGACAAAAGTCGCTATGGTGCCCAACCTCACGTATAAGCTTATCTGCTTAGGAGCATTGCTCAAGGATGGATTAGAAGCATGTGCAAGCACTGCTGAGATCTCTTTCTATCAAAATGATAAGCTTATAGTCGCGTTTAAACTGCGCTTTGAGAATGACACTATATATGTCACTCTGTCACAGTTTTCTTGTGCCACGTGATGGGGGGTCATGTGCACTAAGGTAGATGCGCACCCTAACTACGGACAACTCGTATTGGGAACTGGAGCAGCCGGATTTGAACCCCAGACCTCGTGAAGGGCTGGGAGCACCCATGATCACTCACTGGCAGGTGACTGGTGTGTCAGCAGGGGCGCTTACTCATTGGAAGGGGCTCAGACTTAAAACAACTCAGATATTAGTCCATAAGGATGTCATAGGTCATGGGACAGGACATGAGTCAGCGGGGACTCTGACCAAACAATGGACAATAGATACCTGGTCTGTGCACCATTGGATTAGTATGAATAGTAGGGGGTCTGAGGCAGGGAACCTCAGACTTGATCTTCTCGTTGATCCCCCATCTCCTCTGTAGGTAGTTAGCAGCCCTACCTTCTACTGCCCCTTCTAGTCCAGGGAATATACTTCTTCACATCTCTTTGCTGTGTCACCTCTGGTTGCTTCACTCCTCAGCACCAACCTTTGCATCAGTAAACTTGTCGTTGTTTGTTCAGTGGCACAGCTCGTTGGCTGTGACATTAGATCAAGTCTCTTACCCATCCCCTCCATGGAGTGTCTCAACCACTTGCGGACCAGATCTCTTCTCTCAGGAGTTTTTTTGAAACATTTATCATCCCCCCCACTATCCTTTCTTCTGACTCGGACTTACCGGAGTTTACCCATCATCACTTCAAGAGACACAGTCACCTCGACGTCCAGTCACAGATTGACCACGCCCTTGCAGACGACACCTCAGATCGCCTTCGACGCCGCCGTCAATATAGGCATACCGCTATCGTCCCTCGTCGCAAGGCCCTCCTCCCATCTGTACCCTCTTCCCAACCCCTCGACAGACCGCTCGCGGCACATCTCACCACACCCCCACCAGTCTTTGTCCCCTCAATCCCTACGGTCCCTCTTCAGTACCGTATCACTGCACCATCTCTTCCCTCCTTCGCACGTCGTGATCCCGTCGACCTCCTCGCTATCATCAGCTCAATGGTCAACGCCGTCATCAAAAGACTGCAAGCCATCTTCGATCGTAAGGATCAGTTGCTCGACATCCCCCACAATCATCGGCTTGTCCTCCAGCGCATCGGCGACAGACTCGAGTGGATACTCGACAACATCACGGAGAACGGCACCTCGTGGACTTGCAGTCAGCAACAGAACATCGATTGGTTCTGCAACAAGTTTGGGAAGGTCAAGTTTAGTGGACTTGGACAAAACTTTGAGCGTGTTGTCGAAGCTCTAGTCGAGTTAGAACGTTTTGGGTACTTAGATTGGATTGTCGTTTAGTTTGTATCTCAGATATCTTTCGCAATGGCTTCAGGCTCTCGTTATGCCCCTCTGGCAGAGGATGACTTTGAGTCGGAAGATCCGGGGCCACACACCCACCCGGCTCCATCACTGGCACACACCCGCCCGGCTTCACCCACTGCCACGCTTCAAGCGTACCCGGAAATTCAATGGATCTACGCCGGGGTTGAGTACGACTCGTTGGAAAACGCTATCCGCGCCTCGGCAGATAGCTTAGGCATCAACAAGCAAGCTTACGTTGACTGGGCTATCTTTGTGACAAGGGACATCACACGGCGCAAAGTGGTCAATGTCTACAACGTCCTCGGCAGCAAGATATATGAACATTGGAACAATTTCCTCAATGAGTGCGACACCACCCACGCCACCTTCAAAGAGTTGGACACGTCTATGACAGGCCTTCACACCAAGGCTGACACTGCTGGGAACCTCGCTCTCAAAGCTGTGGAAGAGAACAAACAGCTGAAGGCGGAACTGGTCACTGTCAATGCGGACCTGGAGGTTCTCAACCGGAACAACACGGAGCTTGTCAAATGGTACAAGGAACTCGCAGCCAAGTTTACACAGTTGGAGCAAGGCCTGTCGACCCGCACCACGCTTGGTATCAGTACCACCCCGGTCCCTGTCGTATCACAGGCCTTGCGTATCAAGGCATCAGAACCACCCAAGTACAAGGGAAACAAAGGCTCGGACATCACTCTCGAACAATGGTTACAGAAGATGGGCCTTTGGTTCCGTGTCCAGAACATCACCACGGACAATGACAAGATTACCCTGGCCCTCATGTACTTAGAAGGCGGTGCGCAGGACTACGTC